GCTATCGGAAAAATTTGCCCTAGGCAATAATAATAATAAGCTCCTAATTTTCTTATCAATTTTTAATCCTTAAGGTTTAGGGCAATGGTATGAATTAAATACTAATGAATTTAAATTTTCAATTGTGTGGGATTGAATTAAATTTCAATTGAAATTGAAAGTTAAAAAAAATGTTTTTCATAGTAAATGACAATCGATTTTGCAACGAAAGGTTGAATCTAACATCAAATACATCAATTGATTAACTAATGGATTAATCAATAAATATTTCTTCAAAAAATTAACTCAACGTTTTTATAACTTGAAAAATCAAATGTAATTTTCTGAAAATAATGTAATGAAATTAAATGATGCTTTTTAAAAGAGTATCTCATATTGAATTGTTTTGAAAAAAATGAGAAGACTCACGACAATAGCTGCTCTCATGTTGAAAAATCCTGGTTGCAGTGTATGCACCCAACGAATGAACATCAACAAAGGCTCAGAATCTTCCTATTTATAGTAGCAGAATCCCCCTGTCTTGGCAATCGATCTGAATCTGGGATTTGTTCCCATGGAGCCCGAAGGCCGCTCGTCCATCAAACAGATCCACATTATTTCAAAGCTTTTTTTCTTCTCCATCTAGGCAACTTCCGTAGCTAACGACTCCCTCGTATGCATCTTTGCAGTATCACTTTGAGTCATTTAATCGAAGGTCAACGCTGGAGATCTCAACGAGTGATTCGAGTGGATAAATACAAAATCCTGGAGTTGAATAAATTAATGATTCTCTCCTCTATCTAATAAATCTCAATAAATCTCCAATAATCCTGATTATTTATCTATAAAAATGAGCGAACGTTCACTTATTTATGATACGAGAACGAACGCGCGCTACAGCGCGCTGTAATTATAAAAATCGCGATTAATAATTGTTAATTTAAATGAGTTCCAAATTCAAATTAGCCGCCTCAGATGACTGAACCAATGAGGAGTAAGCGTGATAGAGTTTCGAGATATTGATAGTCTCGATGTTTATCCTTTTTAGCATAGGAATAAAAATTGTTAATGTAAATGAGTTCCACATTCAAATTAGCCGCCTCAGATGACTGAACCAATGAGGAATAAGCGTGACAGAGTTTCGAGATATCGATAGTCTCGATGTTTGTCCTTTTTATAATAGGAAGAGTTTCGAGATATCGATAGTCTCGATGTTTGTCCTTTTTATAATAGGATTGAA